GCACAACGCTATGAATACAGTTAGGCCTCCACAGCCACAGGTTCCACATCTGTGGATTCAACCAACTGTGGATGGAAAATATTCAGGGGGGGAAAAATGCTAAAAAATAACAATATGAGAAAAAATAATACAAATAAAAAAATACAGTATAATGATTTACATAGCATTTACCTTGTATTAGGTATTGTAAGTAATGTAAAATTGATTTAAAGTCGTATACGGAAGGATGTGCATAGGTTATATGCAAATACTATGCCATTTTATATAAGGGACTTGAGCATCTGTGGATTTTGGTATCCACAGGAGGTGCTGGGAATAATCCCCCATGGATACCAAGGGATGGCTGTATACCAAAAACACCAAACTGTACACTCTAAGTGGGTAAATTTTATGGTGTGTGAAATATCTCAGTAAAGCTATAAAACACACACACACACACACACACAGCTCTGTTTCCAGCTCAATCTGATTTTCTAGGAGTTTAAGAAGAAAATTAAAACCACCCGTGAAATAGGACCCATTAAAGTTTTTCAAAAAAATCTGAGTTTATTTCAGGATTCATCTAATTTGTATTATTTACTGGGTTATTCTGATTTGTCTGTCCACAGCTAATTTCAAGTTTCAGGGTCAATAATAAGTGCTGCTCTATAGATCTTTGCACCATCTGGCTTAATGATAATGAAAAAGATGATGCATGGCTAGTTTCCTAATTTCTTAATATAAAATGACAAGAACAAAATTATTCTTACACACTGAGGCCTCAATCTGCTGCAATTTTCTAGAGATCAACAATATTTTAAGAAACAAATGTAGAAGCCCAATTGTCTCTTAAAATACATTGTCAGCAAATAAAACTAGCTTAAGTCACAAACATAAGTGGCAGGTCTGAAGAGAAATACAACGAATCTATTTAATCACAAGATCAATGCTGACTCTGTGATTTGATATTTCCCTTAGATATACAAATGCAAAGACGCACAGACTGATATATTTGTACCAAAGTATAGGTTATGAGCAACAACATATTATTTAAGAATTCTGAAAAATCACATTGGAAATAAATGTCATAAATATTCAATCACACCTTAAATATAAAGTGATAAACTAAGTCTTTTTGTACTGACCTGTCAAAGAAGGCTCATATTTTATTAGGCTGATTCAATCAAAGTTTGAGATTTTTAAGTGGGGATCTTCCTAAAAGAAATAAAAACTGGAATAGATCTTTCCAGTTTCTTCCCAGAAAAATGAGCTCTTTCTTCCTAAACATGAGGCAACAGAGACATCTAGTGGCTGCTAGAATAATTTAGGCAAAATGATTATGATAGGATATTTTCACCATTTAGAGCTAATAGTTTGAATTACATAGGTAATGTTCCATGGATCTTTCCCTAAACCCTGATTTTCAAAAAAGGTAAACGTCCAGTTATAGATCAAGTGAAATCTCCACAACAGAGTCAGAAGATGACCCCCCAAAAAATCAAATCTAATTCTTTTGAAATTATTACTATGATAGCACAAAATTAAATTATACAACTATTATTTCCCGTAATAAAAGGACTTGGCGATTATATTCAGCTAGAAAAAAATTGATCCAGCCACATTTCAGAGATTAATTAGTCTTGTAAAAACTGTGTGCTTGGAGGGATAAGGAAGTAGGGGCAGGAGTAAACTTAGCAGAATACCTGAAGTTAGCTGGTTAGATTAAAATGTGTGGCATAAGACATAAGGCATTTCCCCTTTCATTTAAAAGGAAAGTATTTAGAACAGTAACAGAGAAACACATTAGGATAGAATTGTCAAAGACTGTCATGTATTTATTTACCTGAGATGAAGCAGCTTTGAAGAAAGTAAGTATTAATTTCCAAGTGAGGAGGTATCCCAGAACATAATAGAAGTCTTCACTCAGGGGCTTAATAGTAACTATCTGTCCAACAGGAATACACCCCAAAACATTTTCTAATAAGTCCTCTTGAGTGCTAAGAAGAGACATCAGCACTGCTGGTGGTGACCTAAGAATCAATGAGTAAACATCACAGTTTTCTTTGTAACTTGTCCCTTAACGAACTGACAGCATTTATAAACTTCAAACATTTTAGAAAAATCTTTATTTTCCAAAAACCCTTTTAAAAAATTCCTCTCTGTAGATCCTACTTTAACTTCTAATTTCACATAATGGCAACAGTAGAATCTGAAAGACGTGCTATAAAAACGTGTACCTTAGCTGATAGCAGTTGAAGGAAAGATACTTTTAGAAAATATCTATTTCAACTTTCTGTTTTATAGATCAAAAAAAGCACACATCCAGAGAAGCTATATGTTTAGTCCAAAATCCCTCAGCTAGTCAGGAGAACTATTAGGGCTTCTAAGTCCTACCAGGCCCTTAATCACCCTATAAAGGGAAATGAGAGGATTAAGACTTTGATAAACACAGGAAATAATTATACGCTTTTTAAAAAATCCTAAGACTTTTCAGGCAAGTAAATTTAGCATTCATGTTAATTCATGAAAATGTAAGTTAATTTTCTTCTTTATTGACCTTCTGTATTTATTTATACTTTCAGTTAAAGTTATGAGATTCTCAAAATGTGAAATATTTATATCCTTTCAAACTCTCTTCTCTATGATACTCTGGCTTGGTTCTCTCATTTTCTCTCTGTCATCTTTCCTCTCTTGTGGCTTTCTTCTCCCAGCGCTTTCTGGGCCTTCTCCAAGCTTCTGCACTTAGGTCTTTTTACCTTCATCATCTCCATCTCATATACCAAGCTTTCTCTATTCCATACCGATGGTCACTAGATCTTACAAACAACAGCTCTGAAATCTCTCCACTTTCCACACTGACTTCCGCATATTATTATTTAACTCTGGAATGACCTTCACCTCTGCTTGCCTCTTTCTGCAATTCATGCTTTATACTACTGCCAGAATCAGCTGGTGGTATCCTATCTCCTACCAAATAATATCCCCAACTCCAAAAAACTGTCTTTTTTAAGGCCATTCATTATCCTGTCCCCTTAACTACCCTTCGAGCTTCAATTTCCACTGTACCCTGCCTACTCTATACATATTGGTTCATTTATTCCTCCATTATTCAACAAATGAGCACTACTCATGAGTCTGCTATAGGTCAGGAAACATTCTTAGTGCTACGTTTATAGTCAGAACAACAGACAAAAATTTCTGCCTTAATAGAGCTTACATTCCGGTGAAGGAAGATAATTGACAATTAAAAAATATGTTAAGTGGCAACTTCTCAACATTCCCCAAGAACATCCTGAATATATCATGCCTCGGTGAGTGCCTCCGCACATGATGTTTCCTTAACTTACGTTGTCTTTCCGGTCTTGCTGTAATGGTATCTAACTTTAAAGGTCCAGTTTAAATGTCTCTTCCTCAAGAGAAAGTCTTCCCTTCCTGATGGACATTAATTATGCCCCCATATCATGCTATCTATCCTTTTTCTTGGCATCTGTCACACACTACATCTTCTATTACAGGATAAAATCACCTATGTCAGATTATAAGCTCCTTAAGAATGTGTTTACTCAAACACTGTAGCCCCCCCCAGCATTTAATTAATACTTTGCACAAAGTGGACATTTCAATAAATGTTGGAACTGACACATACTTTCCACAGCTACCATGTGGCTGAAGTAAAGTTTTACCAAATAGCAGCCAACTGAAAATGTGATTTAGGAATAATTAAGACAGAGAATCTTCTCGGTGAACTCTAGATTTCATTTATATCTTACAAATAAGTTAAAAAGGGCCACTCTGTAGAACGAACATATACTCTAAATTTAGAGCTTCTGTGTTGCTTCAGTCTTCTAAAGACATTATAAGTGAGGTGAATTACGAGAATTTAGTAAAACAAATTATTTTTTAAAAAAACCTTACAAGGCTGGTTCTTCTTCTTCATCTCCATATGACTTTAGATTATCCTGATCATACTGTGGTAATTCAGGCATCAATCTGGAAATTAGAACATTATTTTTAAATGTTTTATATTAAATTATCCACTCTTATATAATGTCCAACAGCAGAAAGACCAATTTAATGAGTTTTCTCTGAAATAACTATCTATGGCCAGGACTATCTAAATATAAATTGTGAATGGAGAACAATAATCTAAAAGATCAAACAACCTTAGTGTCCCTGCTATTGAAATAGTCACATTTCTTATTAATTTTTTAATTTGACTTTTTAATAACTAAAAGTAAAAACTATATATATGTTCTACTTTTCTGGACCACTGTAATACTAATTCAATTGGAAGAATTCTTACTTGTATAACATATGATAAACAGCAATTTGCACAGGCCTAGCTCTGAAGAGGAGTAATGGGGCCAATGTATTTAACAAAGTCTGGAGACATTCTGGCATGTTTGTTTTTTGGTCAGCAACCAATCTTGCAGGAAGTTTGTGACTCAAGAGCTGATCCTTTGAGATATATGTTAATGTTTCACACATGGGCTTCAACATTGCATTCTGAAAGGATGTTTCAGACATATCTTTGTTTTCTCCTGATGAGAAAAAGGAAAAAAAAACATGCATATCCCAAAAGAAAGTTAGTAATATAGTTTGAGTAATTCACATACAATCAAATGTAATTTAAGAAAGGGAAATAAAAACAAGACATAAATATTAGAGCATTCCTAACTAGAAACATAAACTGAATATATATATATTTCAGTTAATCTCAACTGTTTTAATGACTTTTATCTCATTCTTTAAAAATAAAGCAAATGTTCAATAGAGAGGTTCTATTCATGTAATCTATTCATGTGATGTGAATTACTATTTTAATTTGCAATGGTCTTTGTATACCTTGCCATTTTTCAATTCTTGTCTGTAAAGCAGAGCATAAATGATGCTTCTGAGAAGCCAAGCTTTCTCTTCTGGCTCTTTTCTTTTACTATTCAATATTATTTGATTTAAACATCCAAAAATTTTGTTTTGAAGTTTTCAATAAGTCATTTCCAATGAATCTCATTATTATTCCCTTTTTCACTTGCCTGTAGCTGTCACCAAAATAGGTAAAAGCAAACTGTGGATGCCTTGGGAAAAGAATTCTTTCCATTCACTGATTAGGTTTGTAGGAAGACTGCCAGTGGTATTCCGAGTTGTGGAATCAAAATAAGCACTGAGATCACAGGCCAAATCACAGCTGACACAGGCGAACAGTTGCACCAGTGGAACAGAATACAATGGCTGATTCTCACTTGTTGTCTGAAGAAACAATAAAAATGAAATAGGTAAACAAATTTCTACCAGCACACTACAAATAAAGGCAATAAAGAGAAGTCCCTCTTTCATTTCGTTGAATTTTGAAATAAAAAGCAGTTGAAATGTATAATCTCAGGAGAAATTTGTATTTTATATCAAAATAACTTTTTTCAAAATTAAATACTATGAATTAGAATCATTAATGAACAATTTATTCTGAAATGCCTTTTTTATTTCTAAACTATGGAAGAAAATATCTCCTATCGTTTATTAAGTCAGATACATTAAATACACATTTCTAATTTGCTTAGTAGCCCTACAAATTGTGTGGTATCATTTTAAAATAAGAAAACTAAGACTCAAATAGCTCAAGTTTAAAACCCTAAGTCACACAACTAATAGCAGGCAAAGCAGAGATTCAGACCAATTCAACCCTGATTGACTTGCTGCCTCAGAACTCACAAGTATTATACCTCTGGTTGCTTGGGTCATAAAAATTATACTAATTACCTCTGAATGCTAATCTTTAATGCATTACTCTGGCAATACTGACACAGTACATTTCAGAAATAATTACAACCAAAAAGGCCAAAAACTTGTCATGAAAAGATAAAACTTAAAAGAGTTGTGCTGCAAATATTGTAATAAGCAAAAGCCAATGGAGAGAACATCTTCAGAATAGCACTGAGGAGATTTGGTCAAGGAAGGATGCTGATAGTCATTAAACTTCTATCATTCTACTCTTCTGTCAAATAGTAGCTGGTGAGGAGAACATCTATAAAGTATTTAAATGTTTGCATTTAATCATTATCATTATAATCACTACTTAAAGAATAAGATTAGTATATAGTTCTGATACAAAGGTATGTACAAAGACCCAACAGACGTGATGACACAGCAGGTTAATTTACCTCCAACCAAGCCAACATGGAGCACATGATGAAGTCCCATTCACTCTCTGCCAAAGGAGATGAGCAATATTTCAGAAATAGGGAAAGGAAACGGATTATTTCTATATTTACACCCAATACCTCTGGACTTGCTTCTGACAGATTACTGTGATAAAGACAAAATCAAAATAACAAAAGAAACCAAAAAGTATTAAAGGATTATACTGACATTCAATTAGAAGATATTCTGTTTTAAATTTTATATACTTATAAATGACTGACTTAAATGTCTACCATTACTCTACAAAGTTGTGACTATAAAAGAAATAATCTGCGTCTGTATTGTATATAGGATGAAAAACATAATATAAAGTATCACCTACCAACTGAAAAGAAAAATATCTTCATGTTCTTTCTTCCAGGATATTATAATTTTTAATATACCATGTAATAGCTCTCCATCATCTATGCTTCTGGTTTGCAGACAAGAATTGAAAATGGCAAGATGTCCAAAACCTCCTAAAGTAAAATTCAAAATGAAAATGAAAAATTTTTAAAAATTGTATTGTTGCTATAAAAAAGAAAGTCTACTCTGAGAGGTTAAAAACTTTCTCAAGAAGTGCCCAGGTTAAGAACTCTAAAAATGGCTTATATGAAAGAGTAAACAACTGAGCTTGTAAGCTCCACAGGGCATAGATCCTGTCTCCATACCCAGCACCTAGCACAGAAGAGGGAATTTGGGAAAGGGAGGACAGTAAGTGAATGATATTGTGATTTAAACTAACCTACATTGTTTTTTGTTTTGGTCTTTCAAGTACAGGACATATTCAGCATACTCATCTCTCAAATAAAAACAAAAAACCCCACAGCTATAGAGTGTACAAGTTAAATAACGATAGAAAATAGAACATACTGTTCCATAATTCGTACATTCACTCAGTAAGCATCTACTATATGTGGTAAGCTTGTATGGGGTTTCCACTCTTTAGAATCCCTACCATTTCTCAAAATCCATCCTCTGGTACATATTAACACCCTTTATCCCCAATCTTCTACCTTAAATGGCAGCCAAACTGAACTATCTACATCCTTGTATGTTTTTCTGCACCTGGAATGTCCTTTGCTAAGTATGTCCGTATGGAAAACTATTTATTTATTCTTCAACATCCAGTTGAAATATTGATTTGTGAAATCGCCATTGCCACCCTCAAAGCAGAGTGGAAATTCCTTCCCTTCTGCTGCTTCTATATATAGTACATCTTTTTGCTACATGAGTTATCACATCATGTATATTTATGTCTGCTTTCTCTGCAACAGGAACTGCCACATAGCAGGTGCTCATTAAGTATTTATTAATAAGCAAATGAATAAAGTACAGAGTGCTCAAAACAGTTTCAAATACAAAGCTATTCCCCCTTTGCCTTTATATGTTCAAACATTGGTTGACTAGAGAGAAATGAGGCATAGCTTTAAAAAACTATAGATGGAAAATAAATGATTAGAGGGTATTTGTAGGTGTAAAGCTTCCCTTAAAACTGTACCATTTCTGTACCCCAAAATGATAACAATCACTATTTAACGACATTCATCTATATAAACTAGAACAAATCAGTTGTAATTCAATTTATCTCTGCTAGATTTGGTTATATATATTAAGAAACACTTCTTTCATTTCAAGCAATAATTAAATTAATGAAATATTACCAAGCAACTAACCATCAGTACTGCAAAGGTCTTTCTTAGTCCAGCCCAAAAGCGCAGGTATACATTGAGCGCTAAATTCTTTCTTTTCTTCTTTTGACAAAAATGGACACAGACTTTGAATGGTATGCAAATTGCCTTCATTTAGTGGGAAAAAACTGTTTAAAGAAAAAATATGAGTTATATTTATTCTAAATATTATTTCATAATATTCCCCTTATTCAGACTATTCAAAAAGACTAATTCTACCATCTAAAATAATTATATAGAAAAATAAAAGAAACTATGGTAAGAGATTAACAAGTACTGACTCAATAAAATTGTGGATAATTTTTTTTGCTGCTTCTTTCTCTTTTCTACATGTTTATAATTTTTAAAATGAGCATATATAATTTTCCCCCATGTATGATTTTTGAAAATTACACTAGCAATGAGATTATACGCTTTTTAAGTGTCAATTTTGATTCAATTTAAACAGTACCACTTGTGTGTCCTTTCTTTGAACTGATATTCATATATGTGCATATAGTTGGTTTTTATTCACATAAAAGGGATCACACTAAGCACACTGTCCTATTATCTGCCACTTATACATGTTATAGACCTTTCTCTGTCAAAACATATAAATTATTCTATTTTAAAGCTATATAACAAAAACAAACAAAATCTACATAACACTCCATACTATGGATGTATCATTATTTAGCTATTTTCCTATTAGTGGACATTTAGGTTTTTTTCCCCTAAAATTTTTCCTCTTACGAATTATGATGCAATAAATGTCCTCAGGCAGATATTATTCTATACATGTGCAAATACCTCTTTAGGCTAGATTCCCAGAAGCAGAATTCCAAGATCAAAGGATTTGAATGTATTATATTATAGTAAGCTTACATGGCTTTCCAAAAAAGTATAATCAACCTACACTTTCACCAAAAATGTACAAGTGTGACTATTTTGCTATAAACTTAATGAATCCTTTTAATTTGTGGCAATATGGTAAATAAAATGTTCTACTTCTAATTTGTACTTCTGCCATTATTAGTAAGGCAAATTCTTTCATTTTCGCATTTCATTATTGTGTTATCTTTGAACATTTCATCCATGAATTGCCTGTTCAAGTCCTTGACACATTTTTCAATTTAGACCGTTTTATTGATTTATAGGAATTACTTATATATTATGAATATTTTTGTTAATTTGCAAATGTCTTTTCCCATTTTGTCATTTGTCACTGTAACATTTATTTATTTATTTATCTGTTTAATTATTTATTTATTTATGAGACAGAGTTTAACTCTGTCCCCTGGGTAGAGTGCAGTGACATCATCATAGCTCATTGCAGTCTCAAACTTCTAGGCTCAAGCAATCCTCCTACCTCAGCCTCCCAAGTAACTGGAATTAGAGGCATGCACCATGACGCCCAGCTAATTTTTCTATTTTTAGTAGAGACGGGTCTCACCCTTGCTCAAGCTGGTCTCTAACTCCAGAGCTCAAGCAATCCTCCCACCCCAGCCTCCCAGCCTCCCAGAGCGCTAGGATTACAGGCATGAGTCATCGTGCCTGGCCCTTTATTATATTTTTGTCACACAGAAGTTTTCATTTTCTTGGTTGCAATATTGTACTAGAGATATGCAAAATAGTACCACTGTGGAAAACTAGATGCAAGGTTTATGTACTATTTTTTTACTCTTTGTATTTTATTTCTTACATATTCACGTAATCTATAGTTACTTCAAAATAAAAACTTTTTAAAATTTTTTAAATAAGATAAAAATGCCCAGATTAATTTAGAATTCTACTGTTGCAGAATCTATTTCTATCATTTCAGAATGATAGATATGATAAATCAGTATGATAAATCAGAATGATAAATTAGTAAATTCAAAATGCTTTTGGTAAATCTCAGCTAAGTATTAATTTGAATGTTGAACTTCGCTATCATGCCCAAACCCACAATCTACTTCTTTGTCTTAAGAACACATTTATTACATTTCTAGATCATATTTCAATAGGATGATTCTTATTTAAAAGGAGTAAGTAACTTTCCCTGCCACTTCCATATAGAAAATAAAGTGATAAAAGGATATTAGGGAGGGGAAAAAGAAAAATTTCTAACAGAAAAATTTCTGGGAAAAAGAGAAAAAGTTTATGAAATGCCACTGGTTAAAACAAGTACTATACAAAATTCCACAAGGTTATATAGTTAAAAATGCTTATTATTAATAAAAATAGGTATATTCCTAACCTAGTTTTAAAGTCTTTAATTCTCATTTCCATTAATTAAATTTCCTAAGACTTCTTTTCTTGATTCATTAGAGATTATTCATTAGTTAGGCATTGCTGAGGTGACCAATTACAATAAATTACAAAGTAAAAACATTTTAAATAAGAATACCCTTCTTTTCTCCTATAATGTGGTTTTATTGCATCAGATGAAATGCTTCGGGAAGTGATCAATTTAGCAATAATAAGAGACCAAAGTGTGCCATGTTCCCTGGATCTGAAAAAGGAAAAAACATTATATTTCATTTCAAAAGTGTTCTTAATAAAATTTTTAAACACTGGCTACCTGGATTCTTTTTACAAAATTAAACAAATCACCTTGGGAGGGCATTAATTCACCCAGGACATAGCATCTAAGCAACTGCCATTAATTACCCAAAAGATTGGGAGTTTAGGCTTTTGACACTCCTTTAAAACTGGTACTGAGCTCTCATCCCAAGGCAACTCCAAAGCGACTTCAGTCCCAAGAGGGGAGATGACCTAAGCAATTAGGCTTGAAGACTAGAGGCTGCAGTTGGGAAGGGACTTCTCCCAGAGGACACCTAGGCTAGCTTAAGTTGAAGAACCAAGGAGTAATATTATCCACTGAGGAAAGTTGTGAGCGTTGAGTAAGTATAGTGGGATTGGAGAAGAAGCTTGGGTCCTCTGCAAAGAATGCTCAAAATATATAAACAAGTGATAAACTCTTATAGAGGAAGCAGTTCAACATAGTCATTTTAATAAGCTAAACACCTAACTGCTATATCCTCTATGAGAACTCTGTTTTCATACTCACCTTCCTCATCTAGGGGAGAGAGTATTATGATTATAACCTTAAGACATACCTACAACAACATGTAAGATAAAGGCTGAATCTGAGAGGATGGGTCACAAAGACAAATTAAACTTCTATAGGCTCCTACTTCTTTGTCATCTGCCCCCTGAATGTATTTATGGATTTAATAAGACAGGCAGAGTCCAAATATCTTTCACCAGAAGATTAAATCAAGTACTTAGTATCCATAAAGTGTTTATTATTAAGAATAAGGATTATTTAGATCAACCCTCTGACTGATACATTATTAGCATGAAGAAGGCTTACATCTTACAAAAGACAAAACCATAAACAAGTAAATAGTCATTTAAAAAGTGGAAATTAATAATAATAAATAAATAAATAAAATTAACTGGAAAAAAAATAAAAAGTGGAAATTGAAAGGGATTCTTAAAAAAAAAAAAACACGGAATTCTTACCTGTTAAATAACAGCTGCAAAAGGCCAGAAGTATTACCAAGTACACGTAAGTTATCATATGTAATATTCATTTTTTGAAGCATTTCACAAAATCCAGTTAGAAAAATGGGATTGTCTAATTCTTCACACCACTGCAGTGAATAGAGCAGTTCTGCAACTAATAGAATGGACAGCACCAAATTATCAAACAAACTTTGTGAGCAAACCCTTCAATTATTTTCACTTCTCTGTTCCACTTTCTAACACTGTTAGGTCCACTCATCCCACAACATCTATGAACTGATTTTTCAAATCTGCTTTGAGAGTTCAAGGACAATGCAAAAGGAAAACATTTGTCTGATACAAAATACCCACCCCTCTTCCAAATCTTACTTGGTCCTTTTTCTGATTAGTTAAGAATGTGACAAGAAGCTAAGTTACTAGACATACTGAAAAAATCTTCCTCCTACTTGGTATAACTGGTAAGAAGTTGCATACGTGAAAAAACAGTAAGATTTTAGATTTTGCATTGATGTATTGTTAAGTAAAAAAAACAAACCACTAAGAGATCCAAGACCTGAGATGAGATGTTCGTGCCAATGCGGCAAGAAATGGAAGACAGCATGATACAGTAAAAACAGCATGGGCCTTGGTGACGGACTGGTCTGGATTCAAATCTGTGTCCATCTCGAGCTGTATACATACAATTAGGATACTACCAACTACCTCACAGGACTGTTGTGAGAATTAAATGACCAAGTGTCTATCATGAAACCTGGCATATCACAGGTTTCTAAGACATAGTCACAACTTCCTTCTTTAGAGCCGTGTATGGATTTTGGAGTCAGAGCCTTGAGACCTAATTCAAAATCTAATCCTACACTTACCAGCTAAATAACTCTAGTCAAGATAATAAAAACAATATCTGACTGACGGAACGGATGAGAGTAAATAATATTGCCACTTTTAATTAATAACACAATTAACATAAAGTATCATAAAAATTATTACTCTAGTTTCCAGTTTTATGTTTAGACAGAGTCACTCTGTGAGCAATGTAAACTATAGGCTTATTTCTCTGCCCTTAACTGAATGTGGAGCTGGCTGACCAAAAGAGGTATTTCAGTGTTTCAGCTTTCTTCCACAGAGCATATCATCTCCCCTACTAGTAACTGTGTTACAGCTGAGGGCTTACAAACAAGACTGACACAGGATTTCTGCAAATCCTCTACTTTTAATACCATCTTGTACAAGTCACGCCGCTACCTACCATTCTAAGCCATTTCCTGAAATGGAAAAATTTGTTGAGGTCCCAAGTCCTCTTAGCATTCATCATTTGAACATCCACTTGCCAGGATAAAAATTAGAGTCTGATGAATAGGTACAGAGGCTCAAAAATCAACAGAACCAAAACAGCATGGTATTGGTATAAAAACAGACACGTAGACCAATGGAATAGAATACAGAACCCAGAAATAAAGCCACATACTTACAGCCAACTGATCTTTGACAAAGTCAACAAGAACATACATTGAGGAAAGGACATCTACTTCAATAAATAGTGCTGGGAAAACTGGATATCCATATGCAGAAGAATGAAACTAGACCCTTATCTCTCACCACATACAAAAATCAACTTAAAATGGATTAAAGACTTAAATGAAACACCCAAAACTATATATAAAACTACCAAAAGAAACACTTCGGGACATTGGTCTAAACATAGATTTCTATGGCTAAGACTTTAAAAGCAAAGGCAACAAAAAGAAAAATAGACAAATAGGACTATATTAAACTAAAAAGATTCTGTGCAGCAAAGCAATCAATAAAGAGACAGCCTGTAGAATGAGAGAAAATATTTGCACACTATTCATCTAACAAAGGATTAATATCCAAAACACACAAGGAACTCAAACAACTCAAAAGCAAAGAAAACAAATCCATTAAAAAGTGGGCAAAGGATCTGAACAGACATTTCTCAAAAGAAGACATCAAATGGCCAAAGTTATATTAAAAAATGCTCAACACATCACTAATCATCAGGGACACGTAAATCAAAACCACAATGAGATACCTATCATCACACCCTAGTTAAAATGACTATTATCAAAAAGACAAAAAAATAACAAATGCTGGCAAGGATGCAGAGAAAAGGGAACTCTTATACACTGATAATGGGAATGCAAATTAGTACAAACATTATGGAAAATTTTATGAAGGTTTCCCAAAACACTAAAAATAGAACTATCATATGATCCAGCAATCGCAGTGGATCGCAATCCTTTATCCTAAGGAAAGGAAATCAATATATCGAAGGGATACTTGCACTCCCATTTTTATTGCAGCACAATTCACAATAGCCAAGAAATATGGCATCATCCTAAGTGTCCATCAGTGGATGAATGAAGAAGTGGTATACATACACAACAGAATACTATTCATCTATAAAAAAGAATGAAATCCTGTCATATGTAGCAACATGGATGGAACTGGAGGTCATTATGTTAAGTGAAATAAGCTGGGCACAGAAAGACAAATACCACATTCTCAGTCATATGTGGAAGCTAATAAGTAGATCTCATGAAGATAGAGAGTAGACTAGTGGTTACCTGAGACTAGGAAGGGTAGGAGGGAGGGGGAAATGAAGAGAGGTTGGGTAATGGGTACAAAAGCATAGTTAAATAGAAGATGTAAGATGTAGTGATCAATGGCACAGTAGGAAGACCACGGTTAAAAATAATTCATTGTATATTTCAAAATAGCTAGACGATTTGAAATGTTTCCAACACCAAGAAATGATAAATGTTTGAGGTAACGGATATCCCAATTATCCTGATTGGATCATTACAAATTGTATGAATGTATCAAAATATCACATGTACCTCATAAATATGTAAAATTATTTTGCATCAATTTTCAAAAATCAGTGGAAAATTCAGAATTCTTTATAAAACACCAAAACCTCACTCATTTTCTTTAGGTTATGTGCATTGACTCTGCTTATATTGATGTCACGCCAGCTTGAGTAATTAACCTTATGCCAAATTATGCTCCACAGCTAACAAGATTATAGCAACATTTCAGTATGTTTCCATCCAATTTGCAATTTAACATTTATCATTTAAGTAACCTGAAGTTTCTCATCACTAAAACAGTTAACAGGAAGCTGAAGGTTTCTGAATTAAAGATTTAAATTACAGTATAATCAAAATTATATTTGTACATTATATTGTATATGAATGATCATATATACTTACTTATTTTCTCAAGCTCATTATTTTCTAGGACTATTTTCTTTTTCAGTGCAACTAAGATCATTTTGCTTAACAATGCTGAAGTACACAAATGGCTGGGAAGTGTCTTTGTATCTTGTTCCTTAAAATCTGTTTTGAAACATTCATAATTCAAACTCAGTCTTCCCTCTAAAAGAGGTCTATGTAACCACTGTGAAAAGAACACATTAAACTGTATATAAAATCATTAGATATCTTAAATTATTTACTGCCTATGCAATTTAGACACGGAACAAAAATCAAGTTAACAGAATATCTACTTTATTAGTAAAACCACAGAAACCTAGAAGTTTGGTTTCTACTATAAGAAATTATCAACATGTGTATTTCTTTAAGACTCCTTAAGGACAGAACTGGGTCTTATTTACCTTTACCATGGCTACTGCCAGTGTCAAATGGTGTCTTATAAATAGCAAGGTCCAATATATGAGTGTTTAGAAACAAAAAGGCAAAGCAAGGTACTCATTTCATTTAGTTATTTTATTCCTCAGAATAAAATTAAAATATTCAAGCTTGCATGAAATTCAAACTTCACAATGAGATATGCACTCTCCAATTTCAAAAATACCTGCATAGGAAGAGACTGTCTCATCTTTTCCCATTCACTGTTGTTTGGCATTACACTTCCAATATAAACTCCCAGAAGATAAGAATCCTCACTCTCCAGAAGTGTATTTAGCAAATCATCGACAGCAGACAGGAGGACTTGAAGACTAAAAATAATGCAAAGTACTTAACTA